ATTTCTCATTAATATTATAAACTTATACACTGTTACCAAATAAATTTGCCAGATTCAATAATTTGTGGCTCTCTACTGCTACCCTCCTCTGCAGCTCAAAAACAAATATGAGCATCTTTATTTCATTTCTCCGTATAGGTGGAACTTATTTCCTGCCTTTCACTACCATCTGCTGGCATATATTTGAAGTGCAAACTAAGACATAAAATAAATAAAGCCTCACTCTTTTACAGAATTTTTCATCATAACATCATTTTCTCTGTATGTAGAACAGCAGGTTTTAGGTTATTTACTGAATCTATCTGAATTTTTGCATTATCTCTTTTCCTGCCACACATTCAGAGGCACTGCCCCATTGGACTTCTCTTGAGGTCCACTAATCCTGGACAAAGATTACTAATACCAGTCTCAGTGTTGGCAAACAAGAAGGTAATACATTATGACTTGACCATCAGTAGTCAAAATTTCAAATGCTGTCATCTGGTAAGGTCCCTTCGTTGTCCCAATGTTGGGTTTGTGTCCTCATTTTCTCAAGTGAATTAAAAGGAAGTATTGCTCCTGAAATTGTCTAGGCCTCTAGCCATTTCTATTTCAGACTGCTGTATTGGAGTTTCTGAGCATCATTCTCTTGGTTTTAGTGCATCTGTCACTCTATCTTATATGTTTAGTTTTGCCCTTGTTTTAATGAGAATTAAAATGCCAATGCTAGTCTGGGTTGGAGATGTCAGTCAAAGATGAGCTTATGCATTCATTCATTTCAAATTAAGGTCAACACTATAATATCTAAATATTATGTGGATAATCTTCACCTGGCTTGATATGTAGATCTGATTGCAGACAATAGTGCTGGTCTAGTTCTTCAAGGCTTGTCTGCTATTCCTTTTGAGTGCTTGCTGTGATTGTTACCTTTTTCCTTCTAATCCCCCCCCGCCCTCAACCTGGTAAACAGACTGAATATACTGGAGGCATCTACACCCGGGTCATTCACTTACAACTGCATGAAGCCCTTGCTTCTGTTTGCCTTGATGAATGTTTAAGCTTGATTGGATTATGCCCATTGTGGAAAACTTACATTCAGCTGCCATGCTGGGAGACAATGACAAGAAAACTAGAAGAGCAAAACAGAACATCCAGGAACGCAGGTGAGCTGGTGGTTAAAGCTTTGTTAAAAACGTGTGCGCACTGATATTTCTTGTGACTACTAGCTTTTATATGTCAGTGCTAATAATGGACTCATTTCCCTATTCATTCAATACTGAAATAAAATGGGGTAGCAGATTACCATAATGGGTCAATTCTATTCCTTAATTACTAGGCCACTGTGGAGTCAAAACACGAGCTATGTGAACGATGTTCTGCAGTAGCCCCAGGGAGCAAGTTCTTTTTGACATTTTGGAGGGAAACAGATTTACTCTTCTTGGTGATTTCAACAGCAGAGTCAGAAGGAACTCAAACCTCTGGAATGGAACAATCAGCAAGAAAGGAATAGGAAAGGTAAACTCTAACAACATCCTCTTTTTGATCAAATGCGCACAACATGCACTGACAATTGCAATGTCCATATCACCCAACCTATGCTTAGGAGCGATGATTGCTGGACCAATCACTGACACATCCACTTGCTTATCTTACTCAAACTGATGCCCAAACAATGGCAATGCCAATGGAAGATCAACATCAGAGGAATCAAGGATCCAACCCAGAAAGACCTCTTCCACCAGGGCCTCAACAGAAAACTGGCAAATTCAAATTAACAATAATGGGAGAATGGCAGCAGTGCTTGGGGGACTTCAAGTTCATTGACATTAGCACCTGCAAAGAGACACTTGGATTCTCTACTAGGGAACATGAAGACTGGTTTAATGACAATGGCTGGGAGCATTGATCAACCACAAGTGCAAAGACTTTTTGTGCTTGGCAAAATGATATCAACTCCAAGCAAAAGAAATTGAGTCTTCAACAAGCCAAGACAGAGGTTCAAAGAAGGACTTGCAATATGAAGAACAGATAGTGGGAAGACAAGGTGAAGAAGATTTTTTACACCTTGATGACACTCATGATATGCACAGTTTTTTCAATGCCATCAAAGTCATCTACTACCCGAGCATTCAGGAACCAATACCCTGGAGACCCAAGGATGGAGGAGATCTGATCAAGGAAAGGGGAGCTATTAATGCCTCTTGGAGGAAGCATTTTGAAGATTCTCTCAATCGAGACACTGTTATTAACAAGAGTATTCTCAACTTCATCCCACAACACCCAATCAGAGACTCTCTCAGAATCCCTAAAGCCCTTGACAAGGTGAGGAAAGCAATCAAGCAGATGAAGAACAGCAAGGCTTCTGCAACTGGTGGAACCCCTGCCAAAATCTTCAAGCAGAGGGGACAGAAGCTCATATCACAGCTCCATGCCCACATCTTAAGAATTTGGAATGATGAGGATATCCCAGATGACTTCAGGGAAGCCATGACTGTGATAATCTTCAAGAAAAGAGACAAGTCCAACTGTGGAAATTAGAGAGCCTTGCTATCCTCCACAGGAAAGATCATTATGAGAATTCTCTTTAGTCACCTCCTTGCACTTGCTGAAGAATTCTTCCTGCAATCTCAGTGTGGGTTTAGAGTACCAAGAGTCACAACTGATGATTTTCACAGCTTGCAAGCTGCAGGAAAAATGCCAACAACAAACCTCTCTATATGGCATTCTTTGACCTCATAAAAGCCTACGACTGTCAACCAAGAAGCACTGTGGAGGATCCTTCATGGGTGATCCTTCATGGGTTCCCACCAAAATTTGTCATCGTTTTTTTCCTGCTCCATGATGGTATGCGAGCACTGGTTCTCAGTAACAGATCTATCACAGATCTCTCTGAGGTTAAGCAAGGCTGCATCATTGCTACGACTCTCTTCTTGATATTCCTTACTGTGATGCTACATCTGGTCACCAACAAGCCTGCAGTCACAGTGGAGCTAAACTACCAAATGAATGGTAAGCTGTTTAGTCTCAGCCAACTCTAAGCTAAAATGAAGACCACTGTGATCACTATCATTGAGCTCCAGTATGCTGATGATACTGTCATGAGGGCTCACTCAGAAGCAAGCCTTCAGGCAATCATCAGTGTCTTTACCGAGGCATACAAAAAACTGGGATTGACATTTAACATTCAGAAGACTAAGGTCCTTCACCAACAAGCTCTTAATGAGGAGTCTCCAGCTCTGGTAATTTAGATTCACGGTGAGACTCTAAAGAACACTATGCATTTCCCAGACCTTAGAAGCCATCTCTCACAGAAGGCTGACATCGACGAAGAAATCCAACATTGCTTTAAATGTGCAAGTGCAGCCTTTGAACACCTGAGGAAATGGATGTTCAGATATTGCAACATCAGATATGAAACAAAGCTCAAGATTTATCATGCAGTTGTGATCCCAACCTTACCATACGGAACTGAAATGCGGACAATGTATAAGAGACACCTCAAGTTGCTGGAGAAGTACCATCACCACCGCCTGTGGAAGATTTTTCAAATCCAGTGGGAAGATAGATGTGCCAAAATTAGCATCCTCTCGCAAGCAAACACCACAAGCATTAAGATGATGATCATCTGACATCAACTTTGTTGGGTTGGCTATGTCATCTGGATGTTTGACTCCAGACTCCTGAAGCAAGTTCTATTTTCCCAGCTTAGTCAAGGCATATGCTGAAGAGGAGGGCAGAGAAAGCTCTTCAAGGACCTCCTAAAGACCAGCTTGAAAAAATGCAACATCGACATCAACTCATGAGAGACTATTGGCCAGGACCCCCCCAAACAGAGGAAGTCTCTTGCAAAGATCTCAGTACTTTGGAATCTTATTACAACAACAGGAGATGGACAAGTGGGAGTGACAGAAACAGTGCATCATGGCCCAAATTAAGAATCCAGTTCCACCCACCCCACACAGAAACATGTACCCAAGTTGCAACAGAGTCTGTTGATCCCAGATTAGCCTCCTCAGCTATCTTTAAACTGACAGATAAAGCAATCATTGAAGACAACCATTCTTGACTATGAGGAACTGCTGAAGCAGAAGATATGTCAATATGGTGCTTTTTTATTGACTTACCCATTATCCAAACCATTCTGTCCAAGTTTCTTTCCTATGTCACCTACCATCACTCCAGGCATTGGCAGCAATGTTTTTGTATCTCGAATCTGTGTGGAAATTAAATGAAACAACATTTTAGTCACTGGAAAAATTCAAATTCTCAGTGACTTCATTCAAACAGTGAAAATATTTCTAATCTATACTGGGTAATTAGCATATTTTTAAATATCCCATTATTTACCATATATGTACAGCAGAATGCAATCCTTATGATTCAGTTTCATCCATGGCTGGGAACAAGTAATGAAAATGACTTGGATGCCTTTCAGTTTCTTGGATTATGTGCCTCTAATTACACTATCATGGCCCAAATGTGTACCTCTCTGAATGAACCCTCTAATCTGTTACACACAAAAAAATTACCTCCATATAATTAATTTGTTTCAGAAATTCCTTATGCCTCTCAGAACAAGCACTTTCACAATTGTATTCCTAAAAATCTGAAAAGACTTTGCAATGAAAACTTTCTGATCTATGTGGACATGACTAAAAATCTGACTCCTTTCATATAGCTGTTAGTTTCCTTTCCTTCCGAGGGATGTGAGACACATTCCATCCAGTCAGCAACCAGTCCATGAAAGAATGTGTCATTGAATCTGCAAGTTTTTTAGGGGCAGTAGCTCTGGTCCTCTATGCTGAGCTCTGTGCATAGAACACTGTTCTATCAAATTAGCTTGTAAGATAAAGATGAGTATAAGTACCCTACAGTCAGGCTTGAAATATTGGCTTATATGCAGGATGAGACTTTCCCAGAGGACTGGCCACAAGTTTTGCAGTTTATACTTCCATTAAAAAAATAAGGTGGGATAATCTGTAGTGTTATGAAGATGACTTTCCAGATGAAAGCCACACATACATTAATGCACTTGTCCTAGCATCAGGTCCTTTATTTGCATTTATTTCATTTTTGTAAGCAACCTTCTTCCTTTATTGATGGGTATAACTCAGTAACCATTCATAAATCTTAATTTCTTAAAGTATGATGTTGATGTCTAGAAGTTCTTTTTTACTTTGACACTTCCCTGACCATTGCCCCCAAAAGTTACAAACTGCTCTGGGATGACCTAGTGAGAGTCGGGCTTAAAAGTAAGGCCTTATTTCTGTCCCTACTAATGGCAATAGCAGAACTTCCACCGCCTTTGATGGTCCTGTATTATTAAGAGTAGAATCCGATTTAAAGGCTACTTAAGTCAGTGGTAGACTTTGCATTGACTTTAATGGACCACTTGCATACAAAGAAAAGCTAAGGAAAATAGAAAAATATCATGTGTTTTCTGGAAAGTTGTTGTAGTTACTCAAGAACCCACCACTGATGCATCATTAATCCTTATTCTAGACTTGCCTGTGCCTCCTTTGTCTGTTATGGTTATTTAGGGGCCAGAAGGCAGTACTGACTATAGATCACTATATAACATCCAGACAGTAAGAGAATGGGGATGGTGGATGCTGTAACAACATTTTCTGAAAATGTAACATGAACAACTGTGTGAACAACAGACTTTTTTGTTCCAATGACAAAATGAAAAACACCACAAGCCACAACAGCGAAACTGTCTGTCTCATTTGGTCAACCAGAAATGGAAAAATTTCACTTCTTCAGCAAAATAAACAGCCCCAAATATTCCATTTTGGGACAACCCAAAATGTTTTGCTGGTCAAAGCAAAATGTGTTCTTTTCAGATCACTTCACTCTTTTTTTTTTAAACTGAAAAGACCAATTTTGAAATGAAATATGCCATCATATCAAATCAAAGTCAGGAGGATTTAGTTCCCTATTTTTCAGTTGAACTTCCTCTGCCTTTGCTTTGTACACAAGCGCTCATCTCCAAAGCCCATTAAAGTCACCAAATTCAATCCAAATTTACAAATAGTGTTGGTTCCTTTTGAAAATGCTATTGTCAGCAATGCTGACAAAAAATTATCAACTACAGTCATGTCACTAATAGGTCTACCGATACTTCTGGTCTCCTGTCAGGCTGTTTCCTGTCATCAAGTGCTTAGGTTACACATGAAAGCATGGAAAGCCTACAAGGCACTGATGAATGTGCCTTACATAACCCTCTCTGGGTGCATGTGCAGAGGCATGCATTTCCAGGGGCATACCCCTGCACATGCACTTCAGTATGTATGAAGTTTTCCCACATAGGCTAAGGGAGGTTGGGGCTGGCCCCAGCAGCTTTAGCTGAGGTTTTGTGGGCCTCCTGAGGCATTAGTGGTGCCAATCCAGCTGCACAGAGCCTAGTCAGCAGCCAGACCATGGCTCTGGATGTCCAGGCTCCATTTCTGGCAGCACATGCTGCTTCCACATGCACCATGCTGTGTTTTGTGCTACTTTTTTTAGTTGTTACTGGGACATCCTGGTATCTAATTCTGGTACTAGTGCAGTGCACAGTTGCACATTCGCCATGTGCCATTTGCAATGTCACAATCAGGTTTGAGGTACTGCAAACCGCATGTGTGCATTTGTCTGGACATGCCCTCTGAGTACAAGTCTGTCACAGTACCAGCTATAAAGTCTGTTTCTTCAGCTCAGGACTCAGACCAGGGGTGGGCAATTATTTTGGGCGGAGGGCCGCTTACTGAGTTTTGGCAAGCCATTGAGGGCTGCATGACAGGCAGCCCAGAGCAGATTAATACTAATTTTCTAAAATTGTTTTGGGCCCTGGGGCCCGGATAGAATGGCTTGGCAGGCCGCATCCGGTCTGCGGGTCACATTTTGCCCACCCCTGGTTTAGACTCATACTAGAATTGAAGTTGGATTCTTTGCAGAATTAGATACATAACTCTGCTGCAAAGATGAGAGTTTGGAACTTGTCAGAGGTATACAGAACTGTAGCAAACAACTATGTGGGAGAACTTTTGAGTCTAGCTGATTGGAGAGGTGGCATTTTCTGGAGCAGAAGCAAGTCTAGAGCAAAACAGTTGAGTGGCTTGTCCTTCCTTTGGCAACCTTCTGCAAATTAAACATGTTGCAAATCACCCAGATGTAAATGATCTGGGTTCTACTGTATTAGCTCTGGAAAATCTGTTCAATCCTATGTCGTCTAAGATGATGATCAGCCCACAAACTGGAGTTTCAGAAGTCTGTGGTTGTGACCACAGATTGTATGTTTCTGTGCATTAGCAACAGTACATCAGAGTTTAGTAATATATCACAGCTGGAAAAAGTGTCTGTCTGCATTTCATTGACACACAAACTGCCCTTTGAAATGCCACAACTCTCTTATATCCTGGGGATATAAATTCCATTCTATTTTGTTCACTCACACGTAATGCTCAAAAAGAAACAGTAAAATAAATCTGTACCTACTTTGCTGAACCCAGACCAGTTGAAATATGATGCTGAAATTAAATGTCTCATTTTTGGTTACATTTGGAGTTCCACTGAAGTCAGTCTAGAGAGGATGTGGATCTGAAGATGAGTCAGATTAGAAACATAATACCTTACCAATGTCATGGAAAGCAATGGGAATATGTTTCCATTGATGTCAACTGGATTGGACTGGTTTCACATACATTATAGCCAAGATAAATCCATATATACTGTCACAAGGTAGTATTTGTTATGTATTACTTATTGCAATAATATCTGTTATGGGTTGGCGCTTTTAAAATACTGAAGGTCATTCTTCCTTCTGAGGAACTTGCAAGCTAATGTATTTCACACATTTCATATCTATTTCAAATTGCATCTATAATAAGGGAGATTTGGATAATTTCTTGCTGCTATAAAATGGAATGTATTTTTGTCTCAAAAATATAGCAATTATTTAAAATCAGAGTTTGCTAACTGCATGAGTGTTAAAGCCTTCATTTAATTAGAAAACCAGATGCAACTTGGTGTGTTAAAGAAGCATGTATTTCCCACCTGTACAACAAAAGTATGCAATCCATGGCATTTTCCATCAGGAGTATAGAGTTGGGCATACACAACCGCATGAGTAGCATTTTTTCCCATGTTACCAATCCAAAACTTGGCAGCTTCAAAATCTGGAGTGTTGATGACAAATTCCTGTAAGGGCCAAAAAGAAGAATGCCATATGAATCATACATGCCAATGAATAGTCATCTTTTATTAATTTGTATTCACTGCAAGAGTAACATTTTGAAAAGACCTGTTGTTGCCTGTATCTCAGCTCAACATCTTCAAAACAGTAAAAATGTAATAATTTTTGAATATTCTAAACTTATTTTAGAAGATGCATATCTAGGGAGACATAAGATAGATAAAGGACAGACAAAAATGTGATTTGCAATTTCAGACCTCAAATTTAACCAATGAAAGTTGGGGAAGAAGTGACTTGGAGATTCTAAATTCTTGATTTGCAGGAAATGGCCGCTATTTTTATTAAAACAAAAGGTGTCTGGAGCCCCGAACTTTTGGATGCTATTAGCAATGTAGACATTTCAGCCCCCTTTCCTGCAATATGATCTGCCCACTCAAACATTCATATTTACCGCTATGGAGCTTGGTATGGTAAGACAGGTTGTGCCCTCACTGAGTTCACTCAAAGACAGGTACCTGATGTCTGCACTTTGCCTAACTGACCCAAACAGAAAAATGTCTTCAGTCTTATTCTACTTACAGAAAAATGAAGACATGTTGGGGAGACTGGAATTTTGGCCTACAAAGCAGCAAAATTAAGCATTCTTAAATTTTAATTCTGTGAGTCCATACTTTTATTCTTTTAAATCCACTTTATGATATGTAGAAAAGAGGGGGCCTGTTTGTGTTTTTACAATTTGCTTGGCAACAAGAATAACTAACAAACAGTTTTGAATATTATGCTAACATCTCCCATTTTTGATACTGGGGCTTTAACTGTGTTTCAACAAAAGCTATAAGAGTAAGGCAGCCAAAGTGAGGAGTCTATATATTTTGGACACCAAATAATATCTAAAATATAGTAAGAAATGTACCATGAATCCAGGCTATAGTGATAGGAAAAAAGAACTTGTCTTGGATGCATCACTCTTATCTTAATGTCCCTAAACGCTTACATGAGAATAGTTGCTACCTATCTACCTAATGACCTAACAGAACCGTTAAGATGATAATTAACTTTTCCCATGCTCATTGATTCTACAAGGGACTATAAATGCAATCTGTGGGGCAGTGCTGTACTGCTACCCAGTGTGTCCACAGGTCGCAGATTGCGGAACCATAAAATCATAAAAAATTAGGGTTGGAAGGGACCACAGGAGGTCATCTAGTCCAACCGCCTGCTCAAAGCAGGACCTTCCCCAACTAGATCATCCCAGACAAAGCTTTGTCTAGCCAGGTCTTGAAAACCTCCAAGGATGGAGATTCCACCACCCCTCTGTGTAACCTGTTTCCCTGTTTTACTACTCTCCTAGTGAGAAAGTTATGCCGCTGTTCCCTTGCTGCAACTTGAGATAGTTGATCCTTGTTCTACCATCTGCCACCATTGACAACAGTCTAGTTCCATCTTCTTTGGAACCCCTCTCCAGGTAGTTGAAGGCTGCTATTAAATCCCCTCTAAGTTTTCTCTTCTCTAGACTAAATAAGCCCAGTTCCATCAGCTTCTCTTCACAAGTCATGTTCCCTGGCCCCCTCACCATTTTTGTTGCCCTCTGCTGGACTCTCTCCAATTTGTCCACATTCTTTCTGTAGTGGGGTGCCCAAAACTGAACAAAGTACTCCAGATGTGGCCTCACCAGTACTGAACAGAGGGGAATAATCACTTCCCTTGATCTACTGGCAACACACCTACCAATGCAGCCCAGTATGCCATTGGCATTCTTGACAACGAGGGCACACTGCTGGCTCATATTCAGCCTACTGTCCACTGTAACCCCCAGGTCCTTTTCTGCAGAGCTGCTGCCCAGCCAGTCAGCCACCAGCCTGTAGTGGTGCATGGGTTTATTCTGTCCTAAGTGCAGGACTTTGCACCTTGTCCTTGTTGAGCCTCATGAGATTCCTTTTGACCTAATTCTCCACTTTGCCTAGGTCACTCTGAATCCTAGCGCTACCCTCCAGCATATCTACTACTCCCCCAGCTTGGTGTAATCTGCAGACTTGCTGAGGGTGCACTTTATGCCATCTTCCAGGTTGTCGATGAAGACTGAACAAAACCAGCCCCAGGACTGACCCCTGGGGCACTCCACTTGATACCAGTTGCCAGCTAGACATGGAGTCATTGATGGCTGCTCTCTGAGATGGATGCTCTAGCCAGTTTTCTATCCACCTTACAGTCGATTCATCCAACCCACACTTCCTTAGCTTGCCTGTGAGAACTTTATGGGAGTCTGAATTGAAAGTCTTGCTAAAATTAAGGTACGCCAGATCCACTCATCTCCCCACATCCAGAGCCAGTCCTCTCTCATAGAAGGCAATCAGGTTGGTCAGGTATGACTTGCCCTTGGTGAATCCATACCGACTGTTCCTAATCACCCTTTTCTCTACTAAGTGCTTAGAAAGGATTCCTTAAGGATCTGCTCCATGATTTTTCCAGGGACTGAGGCAAGGCTGACTGGTCTGTAGTTCCCTGGATCCTCCTTCTCTTTCTTAAATATGGGCACTATATTTGCCCTTTTCCAATCACCCGGGCCCTCTCTCGACCTTTTCCAATCATCTGCTACTGTCATCCACGCATATGCCCTGATTCTTGATGCCACTGATGAAACCAAAGAGAAATTCTACGCCAACCTTAACCAAGTCCTTTCTGATGTTCCAGAGGGAAACAGACTTATTATTCTGAGTGATCTCAATTGCAGAGTTGAATGGGACTCTAACCTCTGGAATGGAACCATCAGCAGGGAAGGAGTAGGAAAGGTTGACTCCAACAGCACTCTCCTGTTAACTAAATCCATAGAACATGGACTCACCATCACCAACACTCTATTGCACCAGAAAAACAGGCACAAAACGTCACAGTAACACCCCACAACCTAAGTATTGGCACCTGATTGACTATATAATTGTCTATGCCTATGATCGCAAAGATGTCTACATCAGTGTTTCTCAACCAGTGGGACGCGTCCCACTGGTGGGATGCAAAGGTTGTGTAGGTGGGACTTCAATTCATTGCCCGACTGAAAAAATCAGTTGTTTGAACTTCAAATAAATGAATCAAAGGATACCTTGAACAGTGCAGTTTTGTAGGGTTTTGCTTTTATCATGGTGGGACCACGGTTTTTTGATTAAATGGTTGGTGGGACATAAGGTGCAAAAGGTTGAAAACCACTGGTCAACATCACCTGATCTATGCTAGGAGCTGAAGACTGCTGGACTGATCACCAACTCATCCATTCAGTTATGTCACTCAAACTGGCTCCCAAATGATGGCTGCAGCAAAAGCAATGCTGACGGAAGATCAACATTGAATGACACAAAGACCCAAGCAAGCAAGACCTCTTTCACCAGTGCCTAAGTGAAAATGGGTGAATTCCTATGAATGAAAATAGAAGAATGTCAGCAGCATGTGGGGTGCCCTCAAAGCCACTGTCATCAGCGCCTGTGAAGATAAACTTGGATTCTCTACCAGGAAACATGAAGTTTGGTTTGATGAAAACGACTGGGATATCCAAAAGTTGATCAATGACAAGCACAAGGCCTTTTCTGCTTGGCCAAATGATATCACTCCAAGCAAAAGAAAATGAATCTCCAACAAGCCAAGGCAAAAGTCCAGAGAAGGACTTGCACTATGAAGAACAGGTGGTGGGAAGATAAGGTGAAGGAGATTCTATATCTTGCTAACATCCATGATACGTGTGATTTCTTTACAGCCACCAAAGTCAGAGATGGCAGTCAAAGATGACCTTATGCATTCCTTTATTTCAAATTAAGGCCAGCACTATAATATCTAAATATGATGGGGACAATCTTCACCTGGGTTGATATGTAGGTATGACTGCAGAGAATAGCACTGGTTTAATCCTCCAAGGCCTGTCTACTATTTCTTTTCAGGACGTGTTGTGACTGTTACCTTTTTCCTCCTAATGCCCAAACCCCTCAATCCAGAAAAAAACTGAATAGACTGGAAGCATCTACGGCTGGGTCATTCATTGACAACTGCATCACACCCTTGCTTGCGTTTGCCTTCATCAAGGTTTAAATTCATGTTTGATTGGATTATGCCCATTGTGGAAAACCTACATTCAGCTGCCATACTAGAAGATAATAACAAGAAAACCAGTAGGGCAAAGCAAGACATACTTAAAACAGGTGAGCTGGTGGTTAAACCTTTGTTAAAAACTTGTGTGTGCACTAATATTTCTTGTGGACTTACTAGCTTTTATATATAAATGCTAATAATAACTCCTTTCTTCATTCATTCAATATGGAAATAAAATGGGGTAGCAGATTGCCATAATGGGTCAATTCTATTCTTTAATTACTAGGCTACTATGGAGTCAAAACACTAAAACCACGTGAATGTTTTGCAGTAACCTAATGAATCTGACATCCATGTGCTCACAGAAGCTGTAACATAAACCTTTTTACCAAGGCATACAAGAAAATGGGATTGACACTTAACTTCCAGAAGACTAAGGTCTTCCATCATCAAGTTCCTAATGAACATTTACAAGGTGAGTGCTGAGGGTTTGGAACAGGCTCCCCCCAGAGGTAGTAGTCATCTACCCTGACGATCTTCAAAAAATGTCTTGACGCCCTTATTGCTGGGGTCATCCGATCCCAGTAGTCTTTCCTGCCCAAGTGCAGGGGGGCCTGGACCTGATGATCTGTAAGGTCTCTTCCAGCCCCTAACAACTATGAAACTATAAAACAGTCCCTACCTCTAGTAATCCAGGTCCACAATTCTGGAAAGCGCTTAGTATTTCCCAGACCCTAGAAGCCATCTCTCACAGAATGCGGACATAGATGAAGAAATCCAACATTGCCTCAAATGTGCAAGTGCAACCTTTGGATGCCTCAACAAACGGGTATATGAAGATCGCAACATCAGATATGAAACCAAGCTCATGGTTTATCAAGCAGTCATGATCCCCACCCTCCTGTAAGAAGCTGAGACACACAAACGTACAGAAGACACCTCAAGTTGCTGGACAAGTGCCATCAATGCTGCCTGCAGAATATCCTCCAAATCCAGTGGGAAGACAGACGCACCAATGTTAGTGTTCTCCTGCAAGCAAACATCAGGAGTACTGAGGCAATGATCATCCAGCATCTACTTTGTTGGGCAAGCCATGTCATCCAGATGTCCAACTCCAGACTCCTGAAGCAAATTTTATTCTCCCAGGTAAGTCAAGGCGTACACTCAAGAGGAGGGCAGAGAAAGCATTTCAGGGATGTCCCCAAGGCCAATTTAAAAAAAAAAATGCAACATGGATGTCAGCTTGTGGGAGGCTATTGCCCAGGACCACCCCATATGGAGGAAGAATCAGCTGCAGAGATCTCAGTGCTTTGAAACCTTACAACAACAAGAGGAGATGGAAAAGGGAAGCAGCTAAAACAGTGTGCCCTAGACCAAATCAAGAATACAGCGCCACCCACCCGAGACAGAAACAAATGTCTAAATTGCAGTAGAGTCTGTCAATCCCAAATAAGCCGCATCAGTCATCTTCAGACACACAGATAAGGCAATCATGGAAGACAATAATCCTAAACTGTGATGGATTGCCAAAGAAGAAAAAAAGATAAGTGCAATGAATTATTTTAAAGTAAACTGACCTACTGAACGGAGAACTAGGTTGGAATAAACAGCACAAGGCTGGATTTTATTCCTGGCAACTATGCTAACCTACATGATGACCTTTTCTATGATTCTATGACCCTGGACAAGTTACATGATGTTTCTACTTCTCAGTTACTCCATCTGTAAAGTGGAGGGCTGACCCTACTTTATAAGATATAATAACAGCACTTTCCAAGAGCTTTACAAATACAGATGACAGCTCAAAAAAGTTACATCTCTGACCCTTCTTTAAAGAATATAACAAAAAAAGAAAGATACTAGACTTATTCTATTTCATATCCACAAAATGTTCAATAGCAAGTTTTATCAGGGAAGAGAAATGAATAGACTGAAAAAAATGCAAGACAAATGACCAGTTAAGTGAAGCAAGCTATGCATATAAACCTTTATTAAGCAGGACCTTTGCTTACAAATATTTACATATGCAAATAAATACTTCAACTCTCTATGCTCAAGCTTCCCTTTCTGTTTACCTCTTCTATAAAGTGCTTTGAGACCTAACCTGCTAATTAGACTAGCTGAAAAATTTCTGACACATTTTTCTGTTGGAAAACACCAATTCAATGGACTAAAACGTTCTGGTGAAGCATGCTGATTCAAACTTTTGACAGCAGGCAGGCAGACAGGCTAAATGGCAGGATAATTAACCTAGCTTCCTAACAACCCACACTTTCATGACTTTGGTGGTCTGATTAGCAGAAAACATACCTGTGACATATTCTGATTGAAGGAAATTCCAGGCTGCACTCAGCTAGGCGTTAATTAGCATTATTATAAAAACTTAGAATAAATTTCTTCCAATATTTTTATAAAATAATTCATACAGTAACATATTAAGAAGTAATTATGGCTGTAAACTAGACTGACCTGAGTACTGGGGTCATATCGGGCAGTTGTCCTGATAGCCTTTGTATTGGTTCCATGGCTAAGTTCAGTCAGAGCAAAACATCCAAAAATCTGAACAGAAGCAAAGCAAATCAAGATGAGCATAACAACTTGAATAGCATCACAGTGGCCGCATCTACATGAGATGCTGACTGCTTAGCAGTCCATGACTACAGAGCAGTAGCGTCGTGTGACAGGAAACGTGATACAATGCTACTGCACAGTAGGCCTGAGCTACTGTGCATTCAGCATCACAAAAAAGCTGTTCCCAGGTGCTACCACCCAGTAAATCTGGTTACTGTGCAATCATTTAGTACCAAATGCCTGCACAGTAATGACTGCGCAGTCAGCATCTCATGTAGCTGTGGCCAGTATTATACATTATAGCTATCAAAATGAGAGTAAATTAAAATCCAGGTGCTTAAGAGGGGGTTAGAGTTCCAGGCATTAAGCTAAATTCATCATTGGTGTAAATAAGCATAAATTCTGCACCAAGGGGACAGGGCCTTTCCATTGCTTCATTCTCCTGGTGTGTTTTGGAAGCCTTTAGAAAAGGGGTGGGCAGTTATTTGGGATGGAGGGCCACTTAACGAGTTTTGATGAGCCGCTGAGGGCCAGGGGAGAAGGGTGCAGTGGGACATTCCAATAGATCCTATCCGGCTTGTTGGCTACCACAGGGAGCCTGAGGAAGGAGGACTGCATCCTGTGCAACTCTGCTCTGCCGTAGCCAGGGCTGGGCTGGTCAGTATGCAGACTCCTCCACCCTCCCTGCATACATCTTCCCTGCTGCTGAGTTTCATGTTGGCACTGTGCAGTGCTGGTGCCGTGGCTACCAAGAGATGGGCCTGCAGGGAATGGGATGCGATGCAGTGTACTGAGTAGCCACCCTGCCCACCCAATGCAATGAGCCGCTGCTGCTGCATCACACTGGGAAAGTCAGTAGTGGCTGTCCCAGGCTGAACCCCCTCCATGGCCAGCATGGACTCGCTTCTTAGCAGTGCTGTGGGGACAGTGGCTCATCATGGTGCGTGGGTGGGCGAGAGAGCTGCTTGGTGCACTGCACTGCACTGCACTCCATCCTGTGTGGGCCCAACACCCACAGCGCCAATAGGAAACCAGGTGGGGGGTGAGGCTGAGGATCCTGTGCGCTTTGTGACCCAGCCTGGCCCTGGCTGCAGCACAGCAGAGCAGTGCGGGGCACAGCTATCCCTCCTCAGTCTCTCAGTGGCAGCTGGCAAACCAGATATGACCAATTAGCAGACCGGATATAGCCTGCAGGCTGTATTTCGCCCACTCCTGCTTTATGGAGATGCTGACTTATAGTAAAGGTACAGGTCATTAAATGCCATCCATTGTATAAGCAGGGATGATTCTTTGGGCAGAGGGAACTGTTGCCTAAGGGGATGAGAGGATGGTTGATTTTTTTCTATACAGGGCAATCTTTAGAACAGACAAGTTTAGGAAGAAAGACAATGCAAGTCCATAGAAAGAGATAAATATGGACTCAATCTAGCATGCAAAAATTATTTTCTTAGCGTTGTGTGGGAATTCCACCTGCTTGAAGCTCTAATGAAGATAGTGGATTGCATTCCCTCAATCTAGGGCTAAATTTGACCAGAAACAAACATTTTAAAAGGTAAAAAATAAAAGCTTAAATTAGACCGAAATGGAAAATAAAATTACTATAACAGATGCAGAACTTAAGGCTTTTCCTGATGCTGAGGCTACTGATAGCTTTACTTTGGGTTGCAGAGGGCAGCAGAGCAGGAAGTCTGAGCCCAGAGTGGGCAGCCTGCCCTGAACACAGGTCTCCCATACCTTCCCAGGAGTGTGTGTGGTAGTGGAGAGCTGCCCTCACTCCCCACCAGTGGCGACATGTAGGGGGTGCATGGGGATGCTAGTGCACCACCTGACAGCAAGCGCTCCCCGCTTAGGCGATGGGCAGGGGGGACAAGCAGGAGCGCCAGTGGCCCCCCCCCCACGAGTATGGGCCACAGAGAGGGGGCGCCAGAGAAGGGCTGCTGGTAATTCTGGGAGTGCTGCTCATGCTTCCTGGTCGGCGCGATTGGTCATGGGGGGATCTCCCCCACCCACCCAGTCGGTTAGATCAGCCATGGGGGGACTCCCTTGCCCCGTGGTTGCTGACTGGCCACTGGGGGGCATATGCCCCCCGACTCAGAAGACTCCAGTTGCCCATGCTCCCTGCATAAGCTGCCCACAGCCCTGTCCGACTCCCTGCCAGGGCCCTGCAGCCACTCATTGTAGCCCCAGGCCCCAATCCCTAGACACCACCTGGCTGGGCTGTACATTCAACCCCACCCCTGCCCAACTCCCTCCCACCCTATGGCAGCCTCAATCCCCACCCCGCTCCACCACTTGTCTGTGGGAGCTGCTCTCCAGGCTGCCTGGGGCCATGTGCGTACACATTTACGTGACGTCCCCTGCCTGAGCCCTCTTTCTGCTCCCTCCCAGCATTTTTTGCAGGCTAGAACTCTGCTTATGCAAGTACTTATGCAATTAGTACTTGCAGCAAGAACTTATGCATTTAGTACCTGCTTATGTAAATATGAAATGATTTTACAGTAACTGTGCAGTACCATCCCTGCATATCTTTTTTTCTAATGCTACCACACAGTAGCTGGTTACTACTGCAGAGTAGCGTTGAGTCATAATTAGTGCCCAGCAATGCTACTGCACGGTAGCAATGAACTACACAGTAGGGTATCGTGTAGATGTACCCACTGTGTTGTTTCTGGATTACAATGTAATAGATAATTCACTTTAAAGGGCTGACTGAGGAGCAGAGCCTGCCCAGCTCATGAAAGAAAGTCAACAGGTAAAAAGCTTTTTCTTAAGATCCATTTAGGGACAATGCCAGACCTTAGGATAGCTCTACAGCACTCCCCAGTGCTCTTACAGATGAGACAGCAAAGCCCACTGAAGACACTTCCTGCTGCAACTCTCAAGTAGGCGAGAAGTAGAGATCTCAGGAGCAGGAACAGGTAGTGCCCGCAGAGTTGCTTCACCACTTCTTTTCTAGGTTTGGCATGCATGAGTGAGGCTAGATGGTTGAAGCATGCTTAAAAGTGGTGCTCACTAATCATTCTGTGGAAGTAGCATAGACATACCCTTCCTGGCTCCAGCCCCTCATGGGGGAAACACTAAAACCAGTTTCAGTAGAATTAATCAGAAAGAGTACCACCAACTCAGGGGGACACAAATGGTAGTATAAACCTGGTCTTAACCAAAACTTCTCCAAAAGCTATGCCACCTAGGAGCATTAAGGAAAAAAAAAGAAAAATCACACCTTGTAGGCAGGATAGTTATGATGGGAAAAAACCCAACACATGGTTTAGATCAGGCTCGTCCAACATGCAGTCCGCGGGCCGCCATGCGGCCCTCCAAGCTGTTTTCTGAGGCCCGAGGTGCTGTGACGGGAAACAAAAGTAAACACTGTACTTTCGTTTTGGGGGGGTGATGCGATACCGCTTCCTGAGAGGTTTTTTAATATGGCTTGCCGGTCCACTGGGTGATAAAAAGTTCATGATCTGGCCCCACATTGAAAAAGGTTGGACACCTCTGGTTTAGATAAACTACATGAGCAAAAGCTATGCTGTTTTTGGGACTTAATTAATATATTGTTCATGGAGGAGGTATGGCTGTGCCTGGAAGAAAAATCCTTCTATCATGATATGCTGCATCTCCACAAGGGGGCTCTGCTGGCTTAATTATAGTGACAGGTTCAAGCGTAGAGAAATCCTGAGACACCCTGAGTGAACTTTGTTCTATTCCTGAAACTTAAGAGGAAAGCTTAACTTCCAGGAAAGATAAAAACTTAACTTGTAGGGAAGCGTATAATTAGGTGAGAAGAAAAATACAGACGGGTTGTTTGCTGTTCTAAAACCCATTTTTTGTCCCATCCTTTATTCCAGGGCTGTCCAACCTCTGAGTGGCTGGGGGCTGCACCACCCCGTAATTGCTTCCCCTGTGGGCTGCATTACTCCACCACTGTCTCTGCCATGGGCTGCAGGAAGCAGAAGCTGGAGGAAGGGGATTAGGGGAAAACTGAGACCCTGGATGGAAGATGGCAATGGCAGCAGAAGCAGGCAATGGAGACAGTGATGGCTGGCAGAGCAGCACCCAGACTCATGGGGAAAAGTCTGGGAACCTGAGGAAATAAAAGTAGTATGAGCCCATAGGCCAAAAGTTAACCACTTGCAGCCCACAAGCTGACAGTTGGATAGCCCTTCTTTGTCCCAATGGCTAAATAAAAATACTTTAAGGTTAATATTGGTCAACTGGTTAATATTATGGGGTCTCAGGTTCCCTATGAGTAGAGACCTAATGAAATTGCAATTTTACATTTTTTGCAGAAAATGCTAAATCAGGCACTTTCCATGAAAAACAGTGGGCTTCATGATTTTCATAGATATTAGGGCTGGAAGGTACCTCGTAAGATCATTGGGTCCAGCCCCCTGCCCAAGGGGCA